AAAAAAAAAATTTTAAATTCCAAATAACATAGATTCAGAATTTCAAGAAGAAAAAAAAACTCTGTTAAACATATAATGGTTCTTCTAACATACCAAATCTTTACTCTGTGCTTATGATTATCTTAAAATGAGCTTCTGTTTTTTTCCTCGTTCAAAAAATATGTGTAATAATAGAAAGGCTCTACATTATAGTCCCATCAAAATCAATATATTTAACAATCACGCAATATTATCAAATTTTATATAATATAATGTTAATATTCAGCAATAAAAAATACAACAGCTTACTTTAGGTGTATAGAAATAGAATTGAACTTAAAAGGGCCCCATCATTTTCAGTAGCTCAGGGTCCCGCCAAGCTTAAATCCGGCCCTGCATCCTACTTTCCACAAACACCCCTGAAGAGTCTTTTGATACCTTAAAACCCCTTACCTCACTCAAAACCGTCTCAGTTTATGCTATGGGAAAATGTCCTTTGCATTTTTAAACAGTCTTAGTCACATTTTTTGCCCTGGGCTCCTATGTCTATGGGATATCTGTAGAACCATCTCTTTGTTGGCTATCCATTCATAAATTGTCTCAAACAGACTATTATCTAACATTTCTAGGAAAATAGATGTACTACACTAGTAGTTCCCAACCTGGGGGCGATCACCAGTGCCGCAACGAGCCTAACTCGCGCCCGGGCCGGGGCACAATACCTTTTTAGCGCCCCCTCCTTCGAAAACCATATAATATTATATTTAAAATATACTCGAAAATTAATAAATAAATAAAGTAAAATAAATAAAGTCATAGGCTCAAGCTAGTCCTTAAATTTGAGACAAAAAATGTAGTTGAGAAAACAAGACTAGATTTTGCGATTTATATGATCATCTAGAATTAGTTCAAAAGATACCTATTATTTATTTTATATATTTACAAAGAAATATTCTAAAAACTCACAGTTTTTAAGCAATAAAAAAGTAAATATTTATTATCTCTAAGGAGATACATATATTTAATAATAATATGATTATAATACATTAATAAAAGTAATTACTATGTATAAATTTTCCCTGCTTTTGATGAAGCAAATTATCGATAATATCATCAAATTTGATCATTTCAAATTTTTCTCTTTCCACACTTAAAAATGCTAGGTCACTTAGGCGATCTTGTCCCATCGTTAATCGTAGATATTTCAAAATAAATTTTAATTTGCTGAAAGAGCGTTCGCAGCTAGCAATTGATACTGAGTTAGTCAGGAGTATGTATTTGAAGTGCCACTCTCAGGTTTGGAAAAACGTCTTCTCCATACGAGATTATAAAAGTAAGAAATTCTAATGGAGTATTAGGTTCAATTTCTTTTCTACTGCGGAGTAACATGTTGCATTTTGCAGTCACATATTTCGATAAAGAGTTCTATTCAATTGAAATCTGTATTATAAAATTCACCCAAATTTTTTTCAAGGTCGTTATCAACATTATCCTTGCTTAATAAATTTTCAACGCCTTAGAAATCCAAATTTGAAATTAAGGTCACTTAATCGTGTACATATTTCTTGCAGGAGACAATCGAGAACGCTTTTCATAAGGCGAGAAATTTCACTTTCTGCGAAAAGACCAACATCTCTAGACAATTCTCCGGGCATTTTGCGGCGTCTTCTTACACGTATTGTAGTACCAATATCCTCTTTTTCACAAAGAGACTTCGCTTTTCCTATTGCCTCTTCACAGAGCTTGTCTCGAATTTCGGCTAGTTCAGTCGCTAATGATTCAAGATCATGGAACGATTCTCTATAATTCCTTTTAGTATTTTGTAATCTGAGTTGCACACGATCAATCCTCCTTAAGATTTCATACCAGAAATGAACAAAAGTTATGAAACTAAAAGTTAGTATATTTTGCAACAGAATTGTAGCTTCACTTCTGGTGTCACTTGTAGTGGTAGTGTCCTCTGCTAATTTTTCTAATAATTCTACTATATTCTCTAGCCCATCAACGATAACGCTAACCGCTTGTATTCTGGCGCTCCATCGTGTTTCAGATTCACGTTTGACAGTTTTTGTTAAAGCATTTTTTAATAATTCTCATCGTAACGTTGAACGAGAGAAGAAAAAAAAATATATGTTTTCAATTATTCCTAAACATGTTACAACGATTGGATATTGTTTAGTTGCAGTAACTCCTACGAAAATCAATGAATGGTTATCACAATTTACATATAATTCTCATCTCTTTATTTACTCATTTCATCTTTTTATTTACGAATTAACATTTATTATATTACACTGGCACTAAATTTAAAATATATTTTCCAGAAATCAATTATAATAAAAATGAAAATTATCCAGCAATTTTTTGTTTTATGGACCATTTGGCACCCCTTTGTGAGTAGCGCCCGGGGCATGATGCCCCCCCCCCGTCACTACGCCACTGGCGATCACCCCAAAGAGGGCGACAATCCTTAGGGGGGTGATTAGAGGGCGACGAGTATTCAAAAGATAAAAATTGCTATTAATATTAATAACAAAAGCTATTTGAGATCGAAATTGAAAAAATATGAAAATTATGCTTCTGGTGTAGACAAAAAATTATGATAGCTAAAAATTAAAAAATTTCAAGTCCAGGATCGTTTTCGTCATACGTTTTGGTATCGCAGGCTGAAATCTGAGTCTCAAGAATTCTCTTTTGTTGAAAGTCATTGTCTTTTATTTACCCTCTTCTCCTCAAATGTTCCACTGTCGCCTCATCTCCGATTTTAAAAGGCATGCAATAGGAGAAACGGATTGATAGACGAAACATTTATCGCTAGGTCTGCTGTTTGACAGTCATAATACAGCTTTCAGCAAAGACTCCAGACATTAATGTCGCGTTGTTGCTAGTGCTATGGCTACGAGGTAATCCTAGGAGGTTATAGTGGTTTTCCTTTCAATGTAAGGCAAATGCGGGTTAGCTCCATCAAATAAGTCCTTCACAAAGGCAAATTTCTCCCAACACTCGAACTGGGAGTTCCCTTGTCTTCAAGATTGGGTTTAAAATGAGAGTTGAACATTGGTACTTCCAACTTTCGGTTATTTCATTTTGAATTCATCAGTTCTATGAGAAAAAGCAATGCATTTTTTTATAATTGCATATCTTTTTCATAATTTATTCAACATATTTTCCTTGAAAGAAAAACATATATTCTCTTTTGCCCGCAATTTTAGTTAATATTTTCAAGCAAATAAACGAAAAATTAAATTTTTATTATTAAAATTATTGTTTTTTCACGGGTGCATGCGTATTTAACCAGAACCGACACATGCGCAATTACTAGTAACTTGTTGAAATCTCGCTCTCTTTCGTCGAAGAGGCATAAGTAACGTCTAAGCTAACCTTTACCATTAGCAGATAACCATACACGCCTCTCTACAGCCGTCTATTTATTTGG